CGCGGAGCGGCTGGGCCCGTGAGCCATGGCCGCTGAGCCTGCGCGTCCGGAGCCTGCAACGGGAGAGGCCACAACAGTGAGAGGTCCGCGTACCGCAAAAAAAAAAAAAAAAAAGGAAACACAGCAACATGGTAAAGCACCAATTTACAAAGGTAGACACAGAGGGGAAAAGGAAACAATGGAGTTATAAAACAATCAGAAAGCAATTAATAAGATGGCAGTAACAAGTCCTTACATATCAAAAATCACTCTAAATGTAAATGGTTGAATTCACAAATCAAAGCTATAGAGTGGCTGGCTGGATAAAAATGTATAAGACCCAATTATGTTCTTTATATAAGACATTAATTTCAGTTTTAAAGACACACATAGGCTCAAGGTAAAGAGATGGATGATTATATTCCATGCAAGTAGAAGCCAAATAATGTGGAGGTAGCCATACTCATATCAGACAAAACAGACTTTAAGCCAAAAGCAATGACAAGACACAAAGAAGGTCGGTATATAATGATACAAGGGTCAATAAATCAAGAAGCTATAAATATACACAGCCAACATCAGAGTAACTAAATAGATTAAGCAAATACAGGTCTGAAGGGAAAAATAGACAATATATTAATAGTAGGGGACTTCAATACTCCACTCTCAGCGATGGATAGATCATGCATATAGTAAATCAACAAGAAAACACTGGTCTATATGCTACACCAAATGGACTTCACAGGCATATATAGAACATTACATCCAACAACTTATGCTCAAGTGCACATGGAACATACTCCAGGATAGATCATATGATAGGACACAAACATGTCTTAGCAAATTTAAGAAGACCAAATTATGCCAACTATCTGAACACAGTGATAGAAAACTAGAAATCAACAGGACGACATCTGGAAAATCTACAAATATATGAAAACTAAACAGCACACTTCCAAAAAATAAAGTAGGTCAAAAAAGAAAGCCAAAGGAAATTTTTTTTAAATCTCAGAACCAACGAAAATGGAAACAACATACCAAAACCTATTGGATGCTGCAAAAGCAGTTCATCGAGGAAAGTTTATAGTGATAAGTGCATACAACAAGAAATTAGAAAGCTCTTAAACATCTAACTCTACACCTCAAGGAAGCAGAAAAAGAAGAAATTTATTCCCAAGTTGGCAGAGGGAAGGATATCATAAAGACTAGAGTGGAAATAAATAAAACATATACAAGAAAATCAATAGAAAGGATCAACAAACTAAAAGCTGGATTTTCAAAAATATAAAATTCACAAACTTTTAGCTAGACTAGGAAAATAGAGAAGACACAAAATTAGAAATGAAAGAGCAGACACTACAACTGATACTACAGAAATACATAGGATCACAAGAGACTTATGAACAATTGTATGCCAACAAATTAGATACTCGGGAAGAAACTGATACTTCCTAGAAATTCACTACCTACAAAGACTGAATCAGGAAGAAATAGAAAATCTGAACAGACCAATAACAAGGGATTGAATCAGCAATCAAAAAATTCCCAACACAGAAAACTCAAGGACCAGATGACTTTATTGGTGAATTCTATCAAACCTATTAAGAAGAATTAATGCCAATGATTCTCAAACTCTTCCAAAACATTGAAGAGAAAGGAATACTTCTAAGCTTGTTCTATGAGGCCAGCATTTCCATGACACCAAAGCCAGACAATGAGTCTACAAGAAAACTAGAGGCCAATAAAACGGATTAATATAGATGCAAAAATTCTGAACAAAATATTAGCAAATTCGACAATACATTAAAAGGATTATACACTGGGGCCAAGTGGGATTTATCACTGAGAGATAAGAATGGTTCAACATACACAAATAAATATGTGGGGTACACCACATTAACAGAGTAAAAATAAAAATCATGATCATTTCAATAGATGCCAAAAAAGCACTGGACAAAATACAATTCTTTTATGATGAAAAATTCTGAATAGATTGAGTATAGGGGGAACACACCTCCACATAATTAAGGCCATACAAAACAAGCCCACAGCTAACATCATACTCGATGGTAAAAAGGTAAAAGCTATTCTGCCAAGATCAAGAACAAGACAGTGATGCCCACTTAATCACTCTTATTCAGTATAGTACTGGAAGTATTAGCTGGGGCAATCAGGAAAGACAAAGAAAGGCACCCAAATCAGAAAGGAAGAACAAAAATTCTCATTATTTGAAGATGGTATGATTTTGTATATAAGAAATCCCAAGGAATCCCAAAATGTAACTAATCAACAAAGTGGGTAAAATTGCAGTATATAAAATCAACATACATCATCAGTTGTATTTCTACACACAAGTAGCAAAACATCTGAAAAAATAAACTAATTTACAATAGCATCAAAAATAAGATACTTAGGGCTTCCCTGGTGGCGCAGTGGTTGAGAGTCCGCCTGCAGATGCAGGGGACACGGGTTCGTGCCCCGGTCCGGGAAGATCCCACATGCCGCGGAGTGGCTGGGTCCGTGAGTCATGGCCGCTGAGCCTGCGCGTCCGGAGCCTGTGCTCCACAATGGGAGAGGCCACACCCGTGAGAGGCCCCCGTACCGCAAAAAAAAAAAAGTAACTATCTCAACGCCCGCCATTGGTAGATTCAAAGAAATCTCTCTAAAAAATCCAACAGCCCAACCACCTCACTACAAATAACTCAATTTCGTTTCTTTTTATGGCTGAGTAATATTCCATTGCATGTATGTGCCACATCTTCTTTATCCAGTCATCTGTCAATGGACACTTAGGTTGCTTCCTTGTCCTGGCTATTGTAAATAGAGCTACAGTCAGAAAGAGAAAGACAAATACCATATGCTAACACATATATATGGAATATAAAAAAAAAAACAATGGTTCTGAAGAACCTAGGGGCAGGTGTTTATCCTGTTCTGGTATTTATCCATCAACAGATGAATGGATAAGAAAGATGTGATAGCTATACGTATATATACATACACACAATGAATATTATTCAGCCATTAGAAAGAAGGAAATTCGACCATGTTTTATATTGATGTACCTTGGGTAAATTATCCTGAGATAAGTCAAAAAGAGAAAGACAAACACTATGTGATATCATTTATACGTAAAATAAAATTTTAAAAAAAGCCAAACTCATAAAAACAAAGAGTAGAATGTTGGTTACCAGGGCCTGAGGTGTGGGGAATAGGAGAGATGTTGTTTAAGGGTACAAACATTAACTAATAGTAAATAATTCTTAAAGATCTGATGTATAGTGAACATAAACAATGGTATCATATTATGATCAAACTTGCTAATAGACCAGATCTTAATTTTTCCAAACACAGTAAAGAAATAATGATTATGTGACATGATAGCTGTGATAACTACTGCTACATTGGCAATCATAGTATAATATGTAAATGTATTAAATCACCATGCTGTACACCTTAAATTCAAATAATATTATATGTTCAATATATTACAAGAAAAATAAAAGAAACACAATAAGCATCATCAATATCTAAACAGATCAAGAGGGCTTCCCTGGTGGTGCAGTGGTTAAGAATCCGCCTGCCAATGCAGGGGACACGGGTTCGAGCCCTAGTCCGGGAAGATCCCACATGCTGCAGAACAACTAAGCCCGTGTGCCACAACTGCTGAGCCTGTCCTCTAGAGCCCACGAGCCACAACTACTGAAGCCCACGCACCTAGAGCCCGTGCTCCGCAACAAGATAAGCCACCGCAATGAGAAGCCCGCGCACCGCAACGAAGAGTAGCACCCGCTTGCCGCAACTAGAGAAAAGCCCGCACGCAACAGCGAAGACCCAATGCAGCCAAAGATAAATGGATAAATTTGAAAATAAATAAACAGATCAGAAGAAATTTTCTGTGAGTTAGAAGACAGTAAGTTGCAAATATACACTCAGAGGAGAGCAAAGATAAAAAGAGTTGAAGAATGACTATGTGATCTATAGATACCAACAAAAGAAACATTCTGTGAATTATGGAGTCTTAGAAGGAAAAGATAGAGATGGAAGGCTTTTTTAAATAAATAGTGGCTGAGAAATTTCCAAATCTCGGGAGAGATTTGGATATCCAAGTTCATGAAGCTCATAGGGCACCAGACGAACTTAACTCAAAAAAAAAAATTCTTCTCCAAAACACGTTATAGTAAAACTGTCAACTCTCAAAAACAAGGAATCTTAAACGCAACTAGAGGAGAGAAGCTTATAACTTACAAGAGAACCCTCATAAGATTAAAAGTTGATTTCGCAGCAGAATCCTCACAGGCCAGAAGAGAGTGGGATGATATATTCAAATTGCTCAATAAAAAAGAAAAGACAAGAAAAACTGCCAACCAAGCATATCCTATCCACCATACTTGTCCTTAAATGAAGAGATAAAAAACTCTTTTCAAAAAACAAAAGCTGAGGGAGTTCATCATCACTAGATCTGTCTTAGAAGAAATTCTAAAAGAGT